AGAGAGAGAGAGAGAGAGAGAGAGAGAGAGAGAGAGAGAGAGAGAGAGAGAGAGAGAGAGAGAGAGAGAGAGAGAGAGCGGGGGGGGGGGGGGGGCTTGCGCGCGAAAGGTGGGGCGCGGCCACGTGGAGAGAGAGAGAGAGAGAGAGAGAGAGAGAGAGAGAGAGAGAGAGAGAGAGAGAGAGAGCCGTTCACAACCCCGTTCACGCGCGTTCACCCCCGTGAACGAAGGCTTGTTGCCGTTCACGTCCGTTCACGCGGGTGAACGGAATTCTGAACCACGAGTGTAGGCGCTGCAGCGGCGGCCCGTCGGCCTTCGGGGGGGGGGGCTGAAGATGGCTAAGAAAAAGAGAAAGGGGGAAGGGGAGGGCGCAAAGGAGGCCTTCGTGCCGGTTAAGGACGACGACCAGCGCGAGGCAATTTGTCGGTGCTGCATATTCAAGTATCTGACGAAGGGTCAGACGCTGGAGAGTTGCAAGGGCGACTTCAAGATGAAGTGCCGGTTGTGCGACAAACCACCTTTCCAGGGCAGTCAGGCGCTGGGGGCTGAGCACTTCACGAAGGGTAGGTGCCCGAGGGTGACACCAGAGGTCCTCGTCGACATTTGGAATACCACACAATACACTTTCGACCAGCGGCGAGAGAGACAGGTGCGGGATTATATGGAGTATCGTGGCATCCGGAAAAACAGAGAGGTGGGAGTTGGAGTGCCGGAGGATGACGAGGTGCAGGATGTTTTGGACAGGGAGGGGGCGGACGACGAGGGAGGACAGTGTGGTGGCGAGGACGATGAGATGGGCGCAGGGGCGGAGGGTGAGGGCGAGGGAACGAAGGAGGACGGCGGTGAGGACGATGTGCAGGAGTTAGGTGCGTCCCTTCAGGGGGGATCATTGAAGGCACGACGCACTGCTCATTTGACAAGAACTTGTGCACCTATGGATGGCCGTAAGAAGAGGAGGGCGGACACCGCTCCTGCGGCACGTATTCCGGAACCGAAACGCTTAAAGCAGGTCAGATTGGATGAGATGTACGACCCGGAGTGGCAGACCACCTTCGACCATCTCTTCCTACAGCGGTGGTATACTGGCGGTGTCCCATTTGAGAGGGCGAGGATGCCCGAGTACAGGGCCATCACGGGACATCTGCAGAATATGCCCCGGGGCATGAAGCCTACTTTGCCCCAGTTCGAGCGCATAGCAGGCAGTGGCATACAGGAGGAGCGTGCATACATAGTTGATAAGCTACGTGACATACGCGCGCAGATGCAGCACACAGGGGCTACCATCCTCACGGATGGGAGGAAGTCCCTGAACTCTGAGTCCATCGTGAACTTCCTGGCAGCAGGACAGTTGGGCGCCTTCCTTTTCACGACGGTGCGCAGGGAAGGGGTTGACGCAGAGACATCAGACGTCGTCTTGTAGCGCTGGAAGAAGGTGTTCGAGAAGTTCGGCGCGAAGAACATCAACGCCATCTGCACAGACTCTGCATCAGTTTATATTGCCGCCGGTCGAGCGATTTGCAACGATCCCGATCCAGATATCCGTCGCATCCCTTGGCTCCCTTGTTCTATCCATTGCTGCAACTTGATGTTGTCAGACATGGTAAAGGATAAGACATGGGCCATCGAGTTGTTGACCACGGCGAGGGCGGTTGTCCGATTCATTAGATCTCACGGATCGGCTCTCGCGTTGTTCAGGAGTTATAGCGCGAGGGCCGATCGCGATGCACGGGCGGACCGTTTGGGTGGCAGCGCCGCGGGCGGAGAGGGGACAGTAGGCAGACCACGACGCGGCCGAGAGTTGTTGTACCCTTGCCAGACGCGATTCGCGTCTATGTACATCATGATGGAGAGGTTGCGCGACCGCATGGTTCCACTTGAGACGATGATGTTGGAGGGGGATTGGGCGCGACTTCCATGGGAGAGGAGGCTGCTCGGGCAGGCCGGGTGGGTGCGCACACAAGTGCAATGCGGGTTGTTTTGGGAGGAGATGGATGATCTCATCGACGTCTTCACCCCGGTCGTGCAGTTGTTGAGGATGTTGGACCAGGGGGGTTTGGTGATCTCTTGCATCTTCCGGTGGGTGACCCAGTTGGCCGAGGAGATTCGGAAGTTGGAGTTCACTAGACCTCGCCTGGTTGGCATGCTGCAGGATTGTTACGCTCGTGCATGCCATGTGCTCGAGCCCGCCTATGCTGCCGCCCATCTTCTCAATCCCAAGAGGCGGAACTTCGTTTACTTCCTGTCTCCGAGGCGCAGCGATCAGCAGAAGAAGGTGGCGGAGATGACACTTGAGTACATCTACACGAAGACGGTCTTCGACCGGCAGGGAGACAGGTACAAGTTGGTCCGTCGGCAGTTGTACGACTTCCACGCGTGCGGGCCGAGGTATGATTGGGGTGGAGATGCAGGCACTGGAGACGAGGACACGTGCGAGGGGCCGGAAGAGACACAGGCCATTGCTGATTGGTGGGTTTTGCACGACAACTGTGCCCCTAGGCTTTATACCATCGCCACACGTCTGATGTACACGTGGGTCTACGCCTCTCCTGCGGAGAGGAACTGGGCGTTGCACGAGCGTATCCACGAGAAGCGCCGCAACGGGTTGGACTTCACGAAGCTGACTGAAATGGTGGAGATGTGCGTGAACAAGCAGCTCCTAGCGTGTAGACAGAGGAGAAGGGGACTTGTCCTGCCGTGGGGTGATCTTGAGAGGGGTTGGACGACGTCCCGGAGCCGCGCAGATCAGGTACTCTGCCGCCGGGGTCATTGACGGACGAGGAGATCGCGCGCCAGGCCCGCAGGATGCAGCGTGCCTCGACGGTTCGCCACCCCCCTGCGGTTCAGACTATGTTTGGTCGTCGTGCAGCTCATATCGAGCTGTACCACGAGGAGATCGAGTACGATCCACCCACAGACCCACATGCTGCAGACGAGATGGAGGCAGAGCCGTGGACGGACCCGGAGGAATTGGAGCAGAGAGGTAGTGACACACCTGATGCTGGTGACGTGTCCGGCGGAGAGAGTGATCATGAGGCTGCCAGTGATATGGGTTCGCGGGATCGGCAGAGCCATTGTGATCTTGATCGCATGACCCCTCCCTTGACTAGGAGTGCGACGGCGAGAGGGCGCAAGCAGACAGGTCATGCGATCGTCGAGCGAGGACAAGGGAGGTGACGACGGAGCTGCCACCGATGATGAGGACTCCGACGTCGAGAGAGAGGGACACGACCAGGACAGAGGAGATGGGGACGAGCATGGATTCGACGGCGGTGACGGCAGTGGGCCGTTTGAGGACGGAGCGGGTGGCGCCTTCCTTGTTACTCCTGGCCCCAGTGCAGTGGGCGGGGGCAGTAGTGGCGGACATGGATTTGGTTTGGAGGTACCGCAGGGATCAATTCCCTCAGGCATTTTCAGTGACGGCTTCGACCTTGGACGTCCACCCACTTCAGATGCTCGGTGCGGCGGGGTGCGTGTTCAGACACCGGTGAGCGAAGTCGCACACCTCATAGGGTCGGTTTTTGGTGGTGCTAGTTCGGGGTTGTTGACAGAGGCTGCCAGAGCGCCAGGCGAGATACAGGAGGGAAGGACTAGTGACGAAGTCGATCATGTTGCCAAGAGGCTAGATATGGACCCCGAGGACGTGCTTGAGGAGGAGCGTTCGCCGTTTGGCACGGATGGTGTTGGGGTGTTCCACGGCAAAGTAGCTTGCGTTGGAGCAGGACACGACCAGGGGGAGGGAGATGGGGTCTAGTGTAGAGGAGGTCACTGCCGTCAGACTAGCATGAGAGTGTAGACACGATGGTCCTGCAGATGTTGCAGATGGTGGAGGACTCTGCACAGAGGGACACGTGGTGGATCGTGCGGGCGACCACCCGGACGACGCGAGGGTAGGGTTGGGTGGTTTATGTGGGGCCAAAGACATGGTACTACCCACTACTGATGAGGCGGACGGGGGCGACGGTGCGGCCACGACAGACGCAGGGGGGTTGCTTGGGTGCGATGGCACGGAGGTGGAAGGGCAGGTGGATAAAGCACTTGTCGGCGTTGCCGTTGCCACAATGGAGGATGTGGTCGCAGATCACACTCAGGATGGTCTTGTCGCGGTGGATGCTATGGTTGCACATCGCAACGAGGAGGAGCGACAGATGGACCCTGGGGACATTGTTGCAGACCCCGTAGAGGCACACGTGCCCACCATGCTCCCACTCGAGCGCCACACTGATGGGATTGATCCAATGATGGGCAGGAACAGGCATATATCGAAGAGGCTTTGGAAGGTTGTGCCTCCATCTTCTTTCGTGCCTGTTAGTCCGCCAGCACCCTCGGGGGTATCGGGGGATATTGGGAAGTCTATGGAGATGGCCGACTTGTTCGAGCAGTTGACAGGTCAAAGGGTTATCGAGTTGGGAAGGGTATCATGGGGAGCAGGGCCAGTTGCTGCAGGGACACGACCGGCATGTGCAGGGGCGGTGAGTGGACGGGGAGGTGAGTCTGGTGGCAGTGTTGTGGGCGGGGGAGGTGGTCCCGCAGTTGGCGGTGGACTGTCGAGCCTTTCGGGCGGGAGTGTTGGTTGGGGAGAAGGTTCTGCTGCGCCGGCGACGGCAGGAGGGCGCGGGCAGGTGCAGGGTTCTCCATCACCTTCATCGAAGGCGAAGGGGAAGTCCGTATCGTGGAGCGACATCAGCAGGGTCACCCGCAAACTCAAGGATGCTATGTCTGGGGTCACGGGTGAGAGGAGGGATCGTGAGGGGAGGTTTACAGAGATGTTTGCGGACGCAGCAGGTTGGGTACGGAAGGGAGATAGGTTGGAGCATCCTGGTGCCGGGTCGTCGTGTGCTGCAGATCGACGGGGCAGCACGATGGTTGCACCGCTGTCATGACCGCCCACAGCAGGTGCGGCACAGCGAGATGGTCATCGACGTCCGAAAAGGCGATCTTCCACACGTGCGTTGCCAGGTGCCCGACTCCCCCCAGCATTGTTGGAGGATGGCCCTGATCCTGTCACTTTGTAGACGAGCCGTGGAGGTTGTATTTCTACTGCACACAGGATACTGCATGAGGAGCCGCGGCGTTAAACAGCTAGAGGACCGGGCAGTCGTCGAGCTGCTGGGGGTCGCAAGGAGGATTCCGCGACAGATGGGGTGCCCATGCCTAGGGGTAGGAAGACATACACGACTCTGACAGGCGTTTTGGGACGTTCTGCTGGAGGGGGTGTTGAGAGAGAGGCGGAGGTCCAGGAGGCAGAGAGGGTGGCAGCCAGAGCAGTTGCCAGTCATGCCGTGTCTGCGTCACAGCATCCAGGGGAGGGAGAGGAGATGGCGGCGACGGTGCCGCAAAGGCGGCGAGAGCGCATCATCGACGATGCTGACACTGATGACGGGCAGTGCGATGCATCGTAGACTAGGACTTCGATTTCGCGCCGATGATGTTTGTGTGTATCTTTCTTCATTTAGAGTTTCACAGGTTTCGTTCTTCTTCTTGTTTTTTTGGTTTTAATTTTTAGTATTCTTCAATTATAATATTTCCTCTTGTTTACTTTTTTTTTTCTTCTATTCATATTGACACTACTGTGCGACTCCGTGCTTCCACTGAGATTTCATGTATTTTACCATGCTTCCACTTCTTTTAGTTACTTTGGTTACTTCGTAGTTTCATTGTTCAGTTTTTTTCTTACTATGGCTATTGTGTTTGTGTATTTCGGTTTGTTCTACTGTCTTCATTGAGGTAACCATGCGGGAATGTCTGGGGAGGGGTAACATGTCTGGGCGGGTGTGCGGGAATGTCTGGGGAGCGGTAACATGGGTTTACCGAGGGGTATGTGGGAATGTGGGAGGAGGGGTTACTTGGCTTTAATGACGGCATTGAGGGGTATCTGGGAATGTGTGGGGTGGGGGG